TTTCCCACATCCGATCCCGAGCAATCCTGACCGAGCGAGGGCTGAACTGACACAGGAGCAGTGGCAGCCGAAGACAAAGAAAGACAACAGGGATAGGTACCTGCCACACCGGCAGAGTTAAGTAGCCTAGATACCAACGCCCCTTAAGATATAATGATAAAGTGTATTAATAAAGTATTAAGTCGCTACCGGTAAGCTATGGGAGGAGTGGTCAAGGAGCAAGGACTACCTGTCAGGGAGTAGTCCCCACGATTGAAAGGACAGAAAATAGATGGTGGCAGCTTTTACCGAGAAGGAAACCCCGAACAGGAGAATCCTAGCTAAGGGTGAGCTAGGATGATTGTGATAACTCCTTACAGAGCCAGTGACGGTGGAGGCAAGGAAGGATACCTCCACGGCCCCCTACTGGCGGCGTAACAGTGGTGGCAGAGGAGGCTAACTCCACGCCCCCCTGCACCACGACATTACATGCCTTGCTCTATTTTTTTCTGTATATTGTGTGTGTCTCCTTTGTTCTGTTGCCTATTAAAAATTGTTATTGGTTGTTTTGAAAGCCTGCATATACTTGTATATTATCTCCTCCGTAAATGCTTGGATATTCCATGAACACCCTGAAGAGCTTGTGAACGCGACAACAGAGCCAAAGATGAGGGCTGCTCCTCCTGAATTCTATCTTCTGATGTGCTAGTAGAGGAAAGTACAACTAGCGGTACATGTACCGCGAGAAAAGAAAACGAAGAAGAGAGGGGGGGGAGCGGTTCAACAATCATCAAGTGACACAGACCTTGGAATGATGGTTTTTCAGAATGTGATAGCAGGAGTTGACATAAATGTTGTTTGCTGTTGGAAGGAAAGCTCACAAGCATGTTAATTTTGTTGTTACATGTATCAGTTCAGGTCCAGGTCAGTTTCTTTCCTACATCTTTCACTCATGAGAAAAGCACTGAGGCTGTGGCAAACGTGAGTGCGTTTTCATGGTAACTACTCTAATGAAACATGTTCAGAAGATCATAAAAATGATGTGCAAATTAAAGAACATAAAGGCAAATATATTTACAACATTTTCACACAAAATAAACGATCTAATTGTTTCAGTAGAGTCTGTTTAGAAAACGATAAAAAAAAGTACTTCTGCTAGTATATATCAATTGTCATTAATCAACATTACAATTATGATATATTATGAAACTAATGATGTTTTGCCTGCATACTTACATTTTAACTAAAACACAATGCTGAGACACAGTCATGACATGAACATAAAGGATAAGACACACTGATTCTTTAATGTACTGCAAGAACCTAACCTAGAAGGATAAGAATAACCCTAAACTTGAAAGGGTTAAATACTTGTGAGACTGTGTTTCATACCTTGAAGATGCCTGCCACAGACAGGGTGAGGCTGGAAGTGTGTGTGACAACCATGAACTCTGCGACTTCCATGCAGAATGCCAGAAGAGCCCCTGCTATAATCTGCAGCAAAGTGATGACAAAAACATTCGCATCATGATAACGGAAGAATTTACAGTTGCTGGCCAGTGCCACACCTAGAAAAGAAATTACCTTCATTACTATATGCCTGAATGATCATTAGAGATAAGTAAAGAGAAGCCACTATACAGGTTGGGCTACAAATTGGACAACCAAGGACTTGGGGTGTAAGTACTAGCAGTAGCAAGAGATTTTTCTTTTCTCCACAGCATCCAGATTAGTTCTGAGACTCACCCAGCCTCCTATCCAAGGACCAATAAAGCAGCCAAAACATGAGGCTGACCACTCACCTCCACCTAGTACCAAGGTCTTGGTTGTGTGCATCTATACTTCAACTTCCCCACATGCCTTCATGATGTAGTGTTTTATTAACCACAGGGACAACTTTACCTCTAATGATCATTACAGAGGCAATGTTCTGTATCCTCTAGACTGATATTCTGATAACAGAGAAGTTCACTTTGAACTTCATGTAGACCAATATGAGCAAAAATTAATATGACAATTTTAGTTCAGAGCATTGTCCAGTGGCAGACTTTTGTGAAGACTGGTAGTGAACTTCAGAGTCCTTAAAAACATGGATTTTTGTTTACTGACTGTATGACTTCCTACTTCTAAATAAGAGCCTGCACCATGAAGGTCAGCAAATTTTAGTGTGGAATCCCAACATGAAACTTTATCAAAATGTGCATTCTGGGAATTAAATATGCAGATGGATGGACACAACCTCCCCAGCATGTGTCCACTTTATGAAACTTGTCCAAACCACAAAGCAAAATTAAATATATTGTATGAGAACCCTCATTCATGTGCAGCAAGTTCCATTCTGGGGAAAGAAGTGCAGAAAAATTCCTTCCCATTAATACAAACCTTCAAAACCAATTGCAAGGGGTAGTATGGGCACAATCATCCATGGCTGCACATGATACACCATGTCTATGGGATTTTCCAAACCCAGTTTTGATTTCTGCATCACAAGCTGTGCTAAAGTCCACCGAAGCCCACTGTATAAAACACATCAAAACAATGTAATGTAAATTAATAGAAGGGAATGCCAAAAACAGTTGTAGACCTTGGACTATAATATTCTGTATGCAATAAATTTACAAAGAAATATCTGACAGTGATGGACAAAAGCAACTAGGTCAAAACTGTGGAAGGACAAAGATGGAAACTTCTGTCTAATACTTAACCCTCACATGACCAGGACATGCCAGAAAGATACATATCCTGGCTTAAGAGTTCATGCACGACTTGAAAAATGTTTGAATCCATGTATGTATATGTGATGTGAATGAAAAAGACAGAATACCTAAAATGGCAGTGGAATTGAAGTAGAAGAGAAAGGAAGGATGGACCAGGAAAGTATAGACTTGGAAAGGAAGAGACAGGATGTGGACAGATATGATGATGGACTACATTACTAGAGAAGTGAACAAGAAGGAATCTTCAGTCACCCATTCAGCCCTCACAGGAGTCATGGCACAAAAACAGAACACTTCAGAGGAAAAATCCATAGCACTTAAGTCATATTTCTTGAATTTAATTAATAGAAGTATAATTCATGTCCATTACTAACCTTGTGAATGATGCTGTTAAAACAAGTATGAACCCCAAAAAGTTGAACTCTGTAGCCTTATAGGTGAAGAGAAATAATCCACCAGATATCATGACTACAATGATACACAAGGTCCATGACTGGAACAAGTGAAGAGCAACATGAATACAGTGAAAGTGCATGCATTTGCATTCAGTTTAGTGCATTCTGAACCCAGTGCTCACTGCACATTATATTCAAAATGAAACAAGTTAGTGGCTGACAGTTGTACTGCAGCTCTGACTCTAACACAATCACAGCTAAACCAATCAAGTGAGGCTCTGCTGTCAGTAATACATGTTGCCTCTCAAAAGTGCATTAAATTATCTGCTGAGGCAGGTAGTGTAATTTATTGCATTGCAATTACCAGTATGAACCCAAATGAAGTTCACATCAGTGTTAGAAACATATGATAACAGAAGGGTAGCATCTTCTGGCATATTACACTGTGTAACAGAACTAAGTTTACCAGCATTTCAGAGGAACGTACTATCTCCATCTTCAGGGTTCAAGATTAAGCCATGCAACCACCAGGCTTCAGTTGGATGAATACATACACAGATATGATAACACTGAAGACCTACTTCTTATCAGGTACAAAATTATGTTAGCCTAAATTGTGGTAATTTTCATTTCCTGCACACTAGATTTATCTGTCACACATCTTGACATAGCCACCAGAGCCTCATTTGTGAGAAAGGTGCATACCATACAATTGAATTAACATTAACAGAAGGAAGATACTACTCCTTATAGCCCATGACTGCTTAGATGACTGAAATGCCAATGTTCTCAAACTTCAGCTCAATCAATGGAGTGATTTAACTACAGACTGAATGACCATAGTTCTGTTCCTGGCATGAACAGAGACGTTTTCTTGAACATCATGTCAAGCCTGATAATTAGGCTCGCTCAGTCTCTTATCCAATGGGAACCAAAGCTCCTTGTCTGGAGGGAAAGAGGCCTGTGTGAGAAATTGGCTACAAACCTCCATCTAGTGCAGAGGTTACAAAGTGTGTGAAGCTTCATCTCCACTCCCCTCTCACACATTCGTGGTAATGTGTTCAGGCCCAGAACAACTTTATACAGAGTATCTTTGATCAAATACGAATTCTTTACCTGTTGTGTTCACTGCTATCATTTTAAAAATTCATGAAATAAACTCCCTGTTACCTGGCATGTATGGAGAATGGGGTCTGCCAGTTACATGAATCTGCTAGGTGCATGAGAAAAACTCTTATAAAAATCCAATACAAAGGCAAAACAACACATATGTGAGCAATGCAAATTCGTTTTCATATAACTTCAATAAAAATTGTGAATTTTCTTTGAAATATTTGCCAGTTGAAAGAAAATTCCAGACATTTGAATGCTAGATGATCAAGGTTACTGTGTAATTATGAGTAGCTTAGACAGAACAATGTTAATTTAATGTTTGCCAGTTGCTGTTATGTTGCTTTCATGGAAACCAAATATAATACTAAGCTCGTTTAGTTATTATAGGATCAGAAGATGGCAAGAATAAATGGCAGTGTTTAATTCAGCATTACATTACTGACCTTTGAAAAAAAAAACAGATTCCTCCAGACTGCTGTTTGTTTGTTGTTTGTTGTTTCTGCTGTTATGCCACTTCAATAAAGCTGTCTTTCGAGGAATTTTCAAGTTCGCAGAATGCACATTAGTGAACTCACAATTTCAAAAGCTTGAATATGTAATTGGAGAGTTATCTGTGGAAACCATACCTACAGAGAGGAAGTGCATAATTTTGCTGTTGAATTTTCAATGTCCATGATGTGTATGTACTGACCGTCTTCTAGTGCACTCAGTCTCACTTGTCACTTCACTACATGTTTCGGCATCGCTGTGCCATCCTCAGGTGTGTTATTTACGTTAAACTATTGCACTGCTCGCCATCATGTGTCGTTTATAAAATGATTTAAAATGTATATTCATCATGTACTGTAATAAAATTTATATATTAAAGTTTTTGTTAAGATTTATCATCTTATACGTCATATTTCAAACTCGCGTATTATATCAATCTTCCGCTATGAGAGTCGTTCTTCCTATATTTTGTGTATACTGCGTCTTGTGATGTGTCCTTCTCTTGTGCCTGCATGTGTTGTATTGCTGTATGTGCGTGTTTCCGACAAGTAAAAATATTTACCTTTTCTTCCAATTTGAAGAGGAGTGCAAATCCTAGTATGAATATAATGGCTGTAGATTTTGTCATCGTATACCTGCAAAACAGAGACTTTGTAAATGACACTATACAATGGACAATAGGTGCTATAAGTAAGTTATATAAACAAGCCAGTTGTTAGCTGAGAACAACTGGCTTAAAAATAGTAATGAAAATAAATCCAGATGATGGCAGATTTGGGAAATAAAAAGAAAATGTACATCTAACTGGACTGTATTAGGTGGGTCCCTTGTCACCACGGCATGGCGCGTCCTCAGGTTGCAGATGGAGGAGACGCCCTCCAGTTTTGGAGGGAAGCTGCAAATATACTGAATAAGCAGTCACAGACAGCCGACAATGGGTGGCCCTCCAGCTTGGGGGTTGGGCGTGGGGCTAAGAACTCCTCACCATAAAAAATGATTATGTTATGAAAATGAACAAAAGCACATTGTTATGAATGTTCACGCACCAACAGAAGATAACACTGATGACATAAAGGGCAGATACTATGAAGAACTAGAACATGCATTTGATAAATTCCCAAAGTACCCTATGAAAATTTTGTTAGGAGATTTCAACGCCAAAGTAGGGAGGGAAGACATTTTCAAACTGACGACTGAGAATGAGAGTTTACATGAAATTAGTAATGATAATGGAGTTAGGGTAGTAAACTTTGCCACATCAAAGAATCTTACTGTCAAAAGTACAATGTTCCCACATCATAACATCCATAAATTTACTTGGACATCTCCTGATGGGAAGATACACAATCAAATAGACCATATTTTGATAGCTAAGAGACGGCACTCAAGTATACTTGATGTCCGATCATTCAGGGCAGCAGATTGTGATACTGACAACTACCTGGTGGCGGCAAAGGTTAGGGAAAGGCTGGCAGTGAGCAAACAAACAACACACAGAGTTCATATGGAGAGGTTCAATCTCAAGAAATTACTTGAGGTAGAGGCTAAAGAGCAGTATTGTGTTGAAATCTCAAATAGGTTCACAGCTATGGAAAACTTGGAAACTGAGGTGGATGTTAATAAAGCTTGGGAAACTATTAGAGAGAATATAAAAATGTCTGCCAAAGAGTCTAGGTTATTATGAACCGAAGAAGCATAAGCCATGGTTTGATGAAGGATGCTCAAAATTATTAGAGCAAAGAAAGAAGGCCAAATTGCAATGGTTACAGGATCCAAGCAAGTTAAATGGGGATAATCTGAACAATATAAGACATGAAGCCAGCAGGCATTTCAGGAACAAAAAGAGGGAATATCTGAAAGACAAAATTGATGAGCTTGCAATGAACAGTAAGAACAAGAACATTAGAGACCTGTATAGAGGAATAAATGACTTTAAGAGGGGTTTCCAGCCTAGCAGTAACTTAGTGAAGGATGAGAATGGTGATCTGCTTGCAGATTCCCACAACATTTTGAATAGGTGGACGAACTACTTCTCTTGGTTATTGAATGTACATAGGGTCAGTGATGTCAGGCAGACAGAAATCCATACAGCTGAGCCATTAATACCTGATCCTAGCCCCTTTGAGGTTGAAATTGCTATTGCAAAATTGAAGCAGTATAAATCGCCAGGTAGTGATCAAATTCTGGCAGAACTTATTCAAGCAGGAGGCGAAATACGTATATTATGTTCTAAGATCCACAATCTAATTACTTCTATTAGGCATAAGGAAAAATTGCCTGATCAGTGGAAGGAGTCTATTATTGCACCAGTGTACAAGAAGGGTGATAGTAATTATTGGGGGATATCACAGCTATCAACTTCATATAAAATTTTGTTCAATATTCTTCTTTCAAGGTTAAGTCCATATATAGATGAAATTATTGGGGATCATCAGTGTGGGTTGCGACATAACAGATCAACTACAGATCAGATCTTTTGCATTCGTCAGATATTGGAGAAAAAATGGGAGTACGATGAGACAGTACATCAGCTATTCATAGACTTCAAGAAAGCCTACGATTCAGTTAGGAGGGAAGTATTGTATAATATTCTGATAGAGTTTGGGATACCCATGAAACTAGTTAGGTTGATTAAAATGTGTTTAAACGAAACGTACAGTAAAGTCCGTGTAGGTAAACATTTGTCT